GTGAAAAAAAAAAACAGTATAAAATTCTCAATATAAACCTAGCAGAGAATATGTGGAAGTTCACCAAAAGAGAGAATTCTTACAACTAGAGTAAGACAACAAGAGAGACAGTTTTGACTTTATCAAAAGCATCTTTTAAATAGTCAGATAATTATAATAGCTTCTGTGTCTACTATTAAAGGCTGTAACACAAACTTCCAAGCAAAAAATCTAAGGGAGAAAGAGTTATTTCTGTTCAGAGGCTCAGAGGTTTCAGTCACGGTCGCTGGTCTCGACTCATGTATGCTGGGGTAGCAAGCGTCCTAAGGGACAGCATGGTGTAGAATGCTCACCTAATGGCAAACAAGATACTAAGAGAGGGACAGACAAGAAGAGCAAGACAACCTTCAAATACATATCTGAGTGACCAACTTCCGCCCGTTGGATCCCACTTTCTGATTTTCACCACCTCTGATTATGTCATCATATTATGAACTCATCAAAGCATTTATCTGTCAGTTATCGGATCTCCAAGATCCGATCACTTTCCAACAGCCCATATGCCTATCCTCTGACAGCTAAGCACCTCATAATGAGTCTATGGGGGACAGTTCATAAGCAACCCATAAAAGTTTCTCAAAGACCTTTGGGACATTATCCTCTTCCTTACCTCAGAGTGAGGAATTGCAGTCATGTTATTAGTATACACTCTGGTACTTAAATGTTAATGTACCTGTAGCATCATTTTATTCTATTTTTAAAATAGAGGTCTAATAACAAGACTCCTTTCTTCTGTTGCCTAAAAATCTAGGCAAAAATGCCTCAACAATCAAACTGAGTATGCTAGGCTAACCTTAACGTTTTTTTGGCTTGTTGGACAGACAGGATTTGATGACTCCCTGAAATCCATCAGTAGCTCAGGGGTTCATTTCTGGGGAAAAGTGAGCACTGTTTCAGGCACTGTACCTCCCAGAGAAACCCTCTTACTTCCCGGGATAAACTACTTATTCATTGAGTAACGGTAGGTTTCAGTTCCCACACCAACTCCCCAGGCAAAGTCAGGGGAGAAAGGAAAATACTTATTAGCCTACACAGTACAGAAATGTTTTCTGCCCACGTATTCCAGGGGTTATATTCATAGTAAACCTCTGAGATTCCATTAATGCAGTGATTAATAAAACATTACTGAGCAGGTTGCCTACAGAGAGGCCTACACATGCTTGTTTATAGTTGACACATCGCTCATCATCCACGAATGGAGAACCTTAGTAGAGCTACAATCCTCCAGCTGCATATGAATGTGGCTGAGCAGGGAAGCTGTTTATCTAGGGACTGGGCTGCTTTTTGATTTATAATGAACAGAATCTGCCCTTCCCACAATCCGGTAAGCTGTCACACAGAGATAAACATTTGTGTTGAGTTAAGAATGTTCATCTATTTTTTCATTGTTAATTTTTAATTTTCTGTGTCTTTCCATTTTTAAGGCTTCATTTAAAAAAATACTAAGTGTTTCTAAATTATGTATAGCTCTACAACCTTAATCATTATAAATTCTCTTTTAAGGAGGCGGTAAATAAGAAAATACTAAGACAGTGTATTTAAGCATTCCTTTAATTGATTGTTAAATTGTAATTGAGTTAGACTACATTCAATATTACTTGAAGAAGCCTAATGTCATATGGCCTCAATAAAAACACTTTGCATGAAATTATTACTCAGTTTGTGTTATATTCTGAATATCCAATTTTTTAATTTATATATTGCATATAGCATAAATGGGTTGTTCTTTGAGTCAAGTACTTAAGGAAACTTATACCATGTTTACATCCAAGAGTTTTTAAATGATGGAGATACTCGGCAAAAAACAGAAGTTATTTTCTATTACCCTTGACTTATACTTGTGCAAGTGGACTTTTAAGCATCAAGAACAGTACTTGATAGCCAAGATAAAATTATTTAGTTTACAATTAAGTAATATTTCTAGGTGTCTAACTCATGATCTAGTGTATATACAGGAAATATTCAATAAATATTTGACTCAAGTCAATGAATCTCTAAGCTTTGACATAAGATAATATGTTTTCTACTTGGTATTCCCCTGACCTGAAGATCTAGAATAAGTGCAGGTCCATTTGATGGTTTCATAGAAACCCAACTCAGTTGCAACACCCAAATCCAAAGAAAGCATCTTTGCTTGCTTGTATGTGCTTGGGAGACCTTATCCAAAATGCTCAGAGACGGAATTGTTCTAGTTTTCAGCTTCTCGTAGACATTTTGGAACATTTACAGATTCATAACGAAACAAACATCTTACTAATGTAACCCAAACCCACACCTGAAGCTCATTTGTGCTCTGTATATACACCATACTCATCCCTTGAACTAATGTTTTAATTAACGTCCCTGTGTGTGAGTTGTAGCCTAGTACATGTACTTAGGAGTACAATTTTCATTTGTTCTGTCAGTCCTCAAGTTATAGATATTGTAGCACTTCGTATTTTTAAACTAAAGACCCTCAACCTATAAAGAGCTATTCATTTCCTAATTTTGTACCTGTTAGACATGGTCTAACCACTGAAGCATGCAAAAAAGGGAGAGCAGCTAGGTAATTAAATGGTTAATGCGATGAAAGCCATGCACTTCCCTGTTTTAAGCCTTATTTGCCATGCTGTGAGCTAAAGGAGAAGAGTTTATTTATAAATACAATTGTCGTGGATGTGTGTATTCTTCAAAAAACATTCACTGAATGTCTTCTGGAGTGTAGGCAGCATGTTAAGTCCTAGATATACAAAAATAGCGCGTACACACACACACACACACACACACACACACACACACACACTCCCTACCTGTCAAGCAGTCATACCTGCATATGTCATCACATTTAGAGTAACCTGGTGATTTCCCTGAGGTGTTCCTTTTCTCAGGGCACTTTCTCAACAGGCAATTAAGTTTCCTGCAGACTGTAAGGTCATCTTTCTCCTTTGAAGAGTCAGTGCCAAACTCTTCACATCCAAAAAAAAAAAAAAAAAAAAAGTCAGTAGTTTTTAAAGAGACATGGTAAACCTTCTTTGAATTAATTATTCTCTCTGATTAGGCAAACAAAACTGTGATTTTATAGAGCAATTCCTGCATCTTCATTATTAGTGATAATGATCGGTGTCTTTTGCCTTCTAGTGATGGCACTTACACTTCAAAGAGAATTGTACACAAGATCAAAGGAACCAAAAATTGATATGTAACCATGATTTTAAAAAAAGGCTCTCTAGTATGAACTTTTAAAAGAAACTATTGTTTTAAGAATTTCTGGTACCCTCTGGCAGACCGCCCAGAGAAGCCCTAGGTTATCCTTGAGCATTCCATTGACTACTGCCACCATCACAGAGATTTACAACAAAACAGATGAATTTAACAAAACTCAGATAACTGTGTTTCTCAAGAAAACAATTCATCCTTTGCCTGGTGGAAGTACCAGCAAGCTGATCTTTAAAGGGCCCTGCTCTTGTAAGAAGGGTGAGATGTGAGAAATGCTGACATAAGCACTGGGCTAATGCCCATCTTAAATTTGAATCTTTTTTTTCTTGATAGTAAAGGCTGTATCAGATCATTCATTCCTAATGAACACATAAGGAAAAAAATATGGCTAACGGCAATAGCAAATATTATTTTAACAAGTTGCAACAGTAATACCACACAGAAATTTGGGAATTTGAATGGGAACGGGAAATTAAAAAACAAAAAGAAAAAAAAAACAATGAAACAAACAAACAAAACACTTGATGTTTCTGCCATTTCCATTGATTCTTAGTGTCATAAGTATTTGGAGGGGAGAAAATAAGAGTATTTGCAGAGAAGTAACAGCATGAGCAGACGAGAGAGATGGTCACACATATCTGTGAATCCCCTAAAATGTACATAGTTGAATGTTTCTGGAGCCGAAGACTTGAAAGCAGGAGTGGGACAAAGTTGCCAGCTATGAGTTTTAAGACTAGAATCCTCACCAGGGACAAGGTCATGGGGCACTGAGAAACACTCAAGAAAAGAAGTCAGTCACTAAACCTGAAGTCAAGGTTTGCAGACAGGTGGGAAATGGGCCACCTGAAGCAGTAATTAAATCTGTGCATTAGAAGATCTCTTCGGGGAAGATGCCTTTCATATTGTTACCATTGATAATTTATCTGAGAGTGTATCAGTGCTTTCCAAAGCTATAATTCACTTTATAAGCCCAGAACCATACTCATTGCTGTACTTGTGAAGACTGAAATGTGACAGCCACAACAGAACTTGCCTAATACAAAAAGCAGCCACTAACAAAACATACCTCCCACCACTTAAAGTATAAACAATAACAAATTTAAAGACTTTTGTCCTTGAGAAAGGATTTTCTTTTCGAGGTCATAAGAAGAGGGTATTCTGAGGGCGGGTAGGAGTTCTACTGAGGCCACTGCCATAGCTATGCTAGCTACAGATGACAGGAACTCAGCATCACGAAAAAGGAAGGGTCTGTGGCTTCAAAGAGGAAGAACAGGGAGACTCTTCAGTTCTTATGACTAATCGGAAGTGTGTGTGTGAAAGGGGGCAGGACTCTCAATGGCAGATGCCTGGATTGAGAGTTTATAAACAGATATAATTGGACATTTATTACATGTAGACTTTGAGGATGTTTGAGAGATGCGTAGCTAAAACTACTCCACAAACAATTAGTGTTGGAGTTTGGAACTCATTTAATGGTAGATCAGACCACGAACACAGGAAGGTTAGCCCATAAATTGGGTGTAGAAGCTACAGGGAAGGTAGTTATTCAACAATGAGATTTGCTAGGTACCCAGAAGTAAATAAAAGTGGAAGGTGATTAAGTCTTTACAGGTAGATAATAGTCAAGATTTGGATAAAGGACAACTGAAATAAGTACCAGAGTTGGTTTGTTCAATTCAGGAACCCATCAAGGGTCTTACTAAGGAACATCAATATAATTATTGTTGTTTTTATCATTTTTGTTCATATAAATTTTATCTCTTTAGGAATTCGGTGACGGGCTCTTTCAGCCCAATCCTCCACTATTTGAAGGACAAGCCAAAGATCCCACTCGGAAATGAGAGCAGACTAGCGGGCAACATTGGCTCCACCCAGTGATTATCTCCAAGAGATACAAAAACAGGATCCATGAAGATGTTGGCAAGACTCCAAGTTCTTATGTTAACTTTGGTTTCAAGGGGATTTTTACTCTCCTTAGGGGATCACAACTTTATGAGGAGAGAAATTAAAATAGAAGGTGACCTTGTCTTAGGGGGTTTATTTCCTATTAATGAAAAAGGCACTGGAGCAGAAGAGTGTGGGCGAATCAATGAAGACCGAGGCATCCAACGTCTGGAGGCCATGTTGTTTGCTATTGATGAAATCAACAAAGACAATTACTTGCTACCGGGAGTGAAACTGGGTGTTCACATTTTGGATACATGTTCAAGGGATACCTATGCATTAGAGCAATCACTGGAGTTTGTCAGGGCATCTTTGACTAAAGTGGATGAAGCTGAATATATGTGTCCTGATGGATCATACGCTATTCAAGAAAACATCCCACTGCTCATTGCAGGAGTCATTGGTGGCTCATACAGCAGTGTTTCCATACAGGTAAGAGTGTAAATGCTACTGCCAACAGCTGCGTTGCTTTTCTTTTATGTTGCAGGGGAACAGAATTAAATGTTGTTAACAATTTCATCAATGGATAATGTTAGCAATTTAATATTGCGTTTCTATAAGTATTTATTGATATTTTAGCATAGAACATTCTACTGAAAATTACTTTGAAGTGTATTGGATGGCAACAACAACAAAACAAACTGCCCCCAAGTTTAATGGCTCAACACATTTATTCAGATACAATCTGCATAACAGCTGAGGGGATGAATAAAGGCTCAGCTGTGACTGGTGCTGCCCAGGTTGTCTCCTTTCTTCCTCCTGTGATCAGTGAGCTACTCAGAATGATTCTAGAGTGATTCCAAAGATGCAACAGGATGCAAGTACGATTTCTTAAGCTCCATCCGATCTTCTCTGCTGTGTCATAGCTGCTACTATCTCATTAGCAGAAGCAACTCAGAGGGCTCAAAATCAAGGACTGAGGAAAAAAACACCTCACCCACAGGATGAGTCCTGCAAAGTTTCATAACATGGTCCTTACAAGTTGACTTGTATTTGGAGCCATTCATGCTCTCCATCACAAGAAGCTATAGTATCTCTGGATTCTATTTTTCACACTAGTTTTTTTTCTTTTGTTCAGAGATTTAAAAACACATAATTTTTCAGTGAAGGTATATTCAAAGAAGCCAAATAATTACCATAAACCAAGGGAGAGAGAAAAAATCTAGACAGGGAGAAGAAAAGAGAAAGATTTTAGAACACAAATTATATAAAGATGATAACTGTTTTCACAACTTCATTAGAGGAAGAAGACACATCACACTTTTTCAGTGGTCACTCACAAAGCCACAGACTTTTGGAGCTAGGAAGGGGCTAAGAAGTCATTCAGCTCAATTTCTTCGTTTTCCCAATTTTCCCCAAAAGATTGGCTTCTGGAAAATTCCCGTCAGTAGGCAGAACGAGAGCTAGACCTGGGATCGATCTTTTGGGTTTTCAGCTACCCCATACAGTTTCTGTATACTACCTGAAGTTCAATATTATTTTTCTTCTGAAAGCACTAATGTCACAGTAATAGAAGTTCATGATTCTAAGAAACACATACTCTGCCTTCTACTAAATTACTATAATCAAAATCCAAGCACTGAAGGCAGTGATATGATATCTTCTTCATATGTCACAATCCTACTTAAAGAGACTCTATTTGCATTGGCATAGCCTTATTTTTATATTCCAGATTTGTGGCACTTAAAATTCCGTGTATAATTCTGTGCTGCTCTAAATGAGCTATTTCAAATTTCTTTCCTTCTTCAGAGCACATAGTCATATTACGAGTAATTAGGATAATTGGTTTTTCATAAACACCCTTTAACTTTATTAGAAGGGTAGAAAATATTGCACATCCCACAGCAGATCATGTAAATTTTGCCATTACTTTTATACTTGAGTCAGGAGAGGTGAAAATTTCTGTTTGAAAGGAGAAAATGTAAGGTCTATGTCTGACACACTTCAATAACAATTTTACCAGCCAGGTGTCAAACATTTTCCAAGTGCTCATATCCAGTATTACTCCCAATAAAGGGACACACACACACACACACACACACACACACACACACACACACGATGTTTGGTACATTTATTTTTCCCCAGTCGTAAGTCTTACTCTACATGTGTCCATAGTCATTTCTTATAGCTATGCAACAAACCACCTTGCAAACACTTATTTTATTTGACCTTGCTCTTTTGATACTATGCACTCTTCAGAAGAAGTCTGGCTAGTTAAAGGGGAAGAAAAAAATATAAATGTGCATGGAAAATCCTGTAAGTGTTATCAAAAAAAGCTCCATCTCCCACATCAAAATAACTGATTTGTTGTTGCATTCACTGGCTGTGGGCTCTGTGAATGAGCTGGACAAGGTGAGAAGTGAGGATGGCTGATGGGATGGAAGCTGTACCAGGAAACAGGTAATCAACCACACAATGTGAATGAGACACAGCGTCTGCAGAGGCTGATCACAAAGCTATGAAAAATGTTCATGTACAAAGGGACAAAGACCTCACAGAAGAATAAGGGTGTGAACTAAAAAGGACCAAGCACTGGGCTCCAATCTTTCTAAGAATTTAAAGCACTCCTGGACGTTAATAAGAAAACACTTCTGGGGACATAAGGTTCCTGGATATCTCTCCTGTGTAGCCACCTCTGTTCCCATGACTACTGTGGTCAAACATCCTGGTGTTTGGTAAGTGTGGTGAAAGCAGGCATCTGGCAGTACTGCCCTAGGTCTTTATAAACTTAGACTTCCTGAATGTGCACTGAAAGCTTGAACTGGCAAACGATGAGAGAACGAAGTAGAAATAAATGAGCACAAACATCACATGACTTTAAATGCCTCCCATCTCGTGGCATCCAGGCACACCAGGGTCCAGAGTTTCCTGCTGAGAACAGATTATGGAGAAAGGATCACAGAAAGCGATATTCTGCACGTTCCCTCTTGTGGCTCCATCAGCTGTTTAAATATCACCGTGCTCTTGTGTTGGTGACCTCTGCATTGCTGTGACAAAAGTACCTGACAGAGACAACTTATAAGAGAACAGATGCATTTTCCATCACTGTTTCAGAGGGCCTTGGTCCTTCCTGGTGAGGAATGCATGGCAACTCCACGCCACAGACTTCCCAACATGGTAGAACAGGAAGCAGAGTGAGTTGGACAAGATCTGGGGCGAGCAAAATCCTGTCCCTCTGGGTGACTTCTACCAGCTTCGCCCCACCTCCTGGAAGTCCACAGCCTCCTAAAACATCACCAGCTGGGGGTCAAACTTTCAAACTGGTAGGGGACAGTTTGAATTCAAACCTTTGCCAGTCCTCCATTTAGCCTGTATGGCTTTATTTTCCAAATTGCTTCAAAAGATGTTTTCTCTTCATCTTCCCGCTAAAGGAGAGAAATTTTCCCAAAGGCGGAAAAGGAGGCCCTTACTGCCATGTTAGCTCATAGTGTTAGTGAAATCTACATGGAATGTGAGATTCTTAATGACTTGCTGGGTTACGCTGTAACACTATCAATGAAGACCTGGATAATTATTCTACCAATACGCTCATTAAGGACAACAAACCACTCCGTAGTAGTCCCTTTATAAAGCAGTCAAATTGATTTCTTAATTCAGTCATCAATGAACGCAAACATCCAAATACTTCTACATGAGCAAATATACCTGGGGGATCTATCCACACCCTCCAGTGAGCAGGCTTCTTTTCAAAGCATTTTCAAGACTGCCCTGGTGTCCTCTATAAGCCTGTGAGCCTTTCACTTCAGGGAATATAGTGTTTCAAGAAGAGATTCAGGTCAATTGCCTTCAGCTAGGCGATTGTGTTTATGGCACTTACTTAGGAGCAGTGTTTATGCCTGTGCCTTTTCAAATGAGCTGCAGTTAGCATCTGAGATGTCCAGCCAAAATGTTCTCCTTCGAAATGTTCCTAAAGGGTTAGAAGAAACACTCTTTTCCTGGCTAATCTTTCCTGTATGGGGCGTGCTTTACCTGGAACATGGCAGGTAGAAGATGCTTTGCCTCTGAATGCTAAAGTAACCTCAGAAAAATCGAGACAACGCAAAAGATTACCTTGAAAGAGTGCGTAGAATTGCCATTAGCTGACAACACAATACAAAGAGGCCAAAAATAAAAAATGAGCAGAAAAGAATGGCATGGACCAGAAGCAAGATTTTAGACAAGGTGTTTTACGGCCCGCTTGGCAAAACAGTTTTTTATACACTAGTGGGTAGCAGCTACACAGACTTTCGTAAACAAACTGCTGTTCTCATTTTATACCTAAACCATAATGTTCTTTGGCTATCAGTACGTCTTACCAAGCTCAAATTCTTACCTCACTGAGAAACCATTCCTAAGCTCCTTCTTCTAATTCCTTCTGTTCTAATTCATTAAATGATTTGTCCATTTACGTTTCTATTAGGGAATCACATGTATTCCTCTTTGTGTAGCCAGCACCTGAAATAAGCTCTCTGTGATTTGGGAAATAAATTTTTTCAACAAATTCCAAGAACTAATTATATGATAGCCTGCTACACCACCAAAAGACAGAAAATCCCTAAATAAGTTTTGGATTGGGGTCACAGCCATCACCTTCTATGCTAGGTCATTTTATGAGATCACAGGTACGAACTGAGCATTTTCCTGAAGTGGAAATCTGAGTGTCTTGTTAAAGATAGATCAGGAAATCCCTCTTTTACTCACTGTCTACTCAGTGGCCCCAGACACCTTCATCTGAGAGCTTTTTGCAGGCTTGCATACCACTGATTCTGAGACAGGCAGGTACAAGGCTACACCCCACCTGCTTAACTGGAACCATGCTCAGTAGGATGAAAGCCCCATCCTGGCTCTCATCTGGCTCCATGTGGTCTCTCCACAGAAAGAATATACAGAGCTGGGCCTGGTGGTACAAACCTGTAATATCACTAGCCACATTGGAGACAGAGGCAGGAGAACTGCAAGTTCAAGGCCAGACTGTATTACAGAATGGTATCAACACTAGCCTAGACAAAACTTTATATATATATATATATATATATATATATATATATATATATATATATATATATATATATATATATACACACACACACACACACACATATATACATATATGTATATATGTATGTATATATATATACATATACACACCTTGGGCTATATATATATCATATATATGATATTGATACATATATATATCATATATATATTCAGAAGGCCTCCTAAATCTCAGACAATATGCTACTGTGTTTACTGTATATTTAGCTGATGCAAGGCAAATGGGAGCATGATTCTGTTCTCACGTGAGGCAAAGGACAGCACTAAAACTTCATTTACTAGTTTATTATTAGAAAAAAAATAAAGTGATAGCTGCACTTAGTGAGTTTAATATTGCAACTATAATGTTTATGGCAGTTTTCAGTGTATCTCTCCAGAAAACGTTCAACACGGTG